ATAATTAACTCTTCAGAACTGGGCAGATAAAGTTTATCTAAGATGGGGAGCAGGGCACTCAACCAGCCTTCCTCCCCAACTTTCTGCTTGCCTGGCAGAGCCCAACCCAGGATGAGTCCAACCACCTGCCTTCTCTGGACAACTGTGGGCAGACGAAGTAGTTCTTAAGGAAGATGGACAAGTTCATGACCACTGGCCCTCCTCAGCCACCCTCCCATCACTATTCTTGGTCAGCTCACTCTCCTTCATAATGCCTATTTAAAAACTTCTCCACTCTCTTCAAACTCCTGCTACTTTCTCTGCATTCTGAACCATCCAATAAAAATGCCTTCATATCCAATTTATTGCTGGGTACTTGAGCCTGCAAGCAGAATAGAACCCTACTACCATCCTTGGACAGAATCAACAGGCCCACACGCAACACAATTCTCTTCTGGGATTCCCAATTGAGGAGGGAGACTGGGAGATGGGAGGAGGGGGGACTCTGTTTCCAAATGGCCCATCAAACTTTTTAGATAAAAAGAAATACTTTCACAGTAAAAAACTGTATTTCATCCATCTTGACACAAATGTCTCTAAAGAAACCCAACTCCATTTACTCTCATTTGAAGATCATTAAGAAACCTTTCGATTTATAACTTATTATTGGGTTTATGAATCAATCTTCTATGTCCTTGGGACCTAAATCAATTCCTTGGAGCCTGATCTCTACCACAGAAATAACAAAATCTAGACCTTTAAATTGCAAAGCGAGGGGCCAGACTCTAGATCTGAGATGGCCCCCAAATTAGGCAATAATACCATGTGAGGCTTGACTTAAGAGGGTCAGCTGGTCTTACCTGTATTATGTTTTTATCACAACCATTATGCAATTTTTCTGATTATCACTTTTAGGAATGGTCTGACTCAAAACATCAACTCTGACTTCCTAAAGGGTAAATATCAACCTCCCTTCCTTTGTACTGTTTAGTGCCTATAAGGAAAGCACAAATGTTCCTTATTTTCTTTGCTTTTTCCAGTGGAGTTGATGACTATTTCTCCCCTTCTGGGTGTAATTCTGAAGTCATTAGAGGAGGTTGAAATTAGTGGGAATTTCAAGTTCACACACATTATAGCCTCACTAACTTGCTTTTAGGGTCCTCTCAAAATAAACATACTGTTTCTCGATCAACGCTTGATTTAAGTTCAGATTCATCTGTCCAGAGCAGCTCTCCCAGATTTTAGCCTGAGCAGATCTCAAATGTGGAACAATGGCAGATCAATGCGTGTTTGCTCAATAAATGAATGGAGTGTAATCCAGCTCAGTGCAGGTGACAAAGGAGGGGCAAGATGATTTGCTGAGCTCTCTTTCATGATCTGATTTTAAGACAGAATTATGAATGGAAGGAACAGAAGCTTTGGCTCCATTTGGAGATTAATGGAATGGCACTTTTAAAAATAAAAAATGCCATTAACCATAGCTACTCAAATCAATTATTCTTTCACTGGGACTGACTCATTTAGTGAGAACAGCAAGTTTATACATTTATATGTGTATCACCTAGTCTGAACCTCTCCACCAAAAAGTATAAAGTGACTCACTGTCTCTTTACAAGAATTTCCAGATCTGTTGTGGTTTTGCAATGGGTCAACTTAGCTGAGCTGGAAATGTGTTTCTCAAAATTCCTCTCCTATATGGCTCCTGGTTAAGAAGAGCCACAAGAGAAATTTTGCGTGAGAGTTAGAAGACAGAAGTGAGGCAGATGTTCCAGCCTGAAGGTGGGTGTAGAGCAGCAGGTATGACAGCTTATGCCTGTTGTCCCCCAGTCACCATGGGCTTGCTCTCTTTGTCATCATGAAGCAGCAGCCTGGCCCCCAGTTCTTCCTGCTGGATCCCCTCCTCCGATTTCTCCAAGTCTTTGGCCTGCTGCAAATGCAGCTCATGGCAAAACCACGGGCTGCTTCTTCTAGTCTCGCAGGCATAGAGGTCGGACATAGTGAGAGACAGATGCAGGTTCCGAGATGCCTAGGTAGCTTCCAGTTCATCCCCACAGGTTCCAGTTTGTCTTTGGTCTCCTTCATTTCGTATCTAGCTTTTTATTCCAACAGCTGGCCCTGCTGGCCTGCAGTGACTTCGCCACAGCTGCAGCAGCTGTGACTACAGTGACGGCACCAGATACAGCGGCGTATCTTCCAGAGAATTCTTCCCCGGCTGTCATCATTGTGTGAGGTCTGATCTTTGTAATAAATCCCCTATTCTATGTCATTCAGAGTTGTCTTACTGCCCTGGTCAAATCTTAACTCATCCACCTGTATAGGGTATTACTTTGTCTTGTCCCAATCATTCTGTGTAACACATAGAGGTTAAAGCAGAGAAGAATCAGGGGATAGTCTGGAAAGAACACTCTATGGTTTCTCATGATGTGTTTGCTAATTAGGAGTCAATAGAGCCACTTCAAATTTATGAATGGCATATAGGGTTGCATATAGGGCATATAGGGTGCCTCTCCAGAGATGCCTGTGCAGTTGTCCAGTGTGCAGCCTGCTCAGCTGTAGATGGCAGCCCTGGCAGAGAGCAGTATTGTAAATGTTCCTTTTTATATAAAATAGCCATTTGCATTTTTAACAAGTAACCGATCTATTCATATAGAACCACACTTGACTGAGTCTAGATGAGATTTATAGTCCAGTACTGTATAGTACGTCATTGGGAATAAAAATAGAAAACACAGTGCATCCAAAGAATCATTAAGTCATTAAAAGCAGAGGAAATTAACTGCACAAGCCAATAAACTTGAATATTCTTATGACAGATTTTTATGTGATTTGACTCCTATATGGCTACTTTGTTCTATTTTCCCATTCTAAAGCCACTTGAATGTGAATTGGCAAACCCAAAGAGTTACCAAATAAATGGATCCATAATCATTCTCTCGGTCATCATAGTCTACAGAGGGGACTTTACTTAAAATTAAAGTCAAGACTAAAACAAAGAGCAAAAACCATAAGGCTTTTATGGAGGCCTTTGAAACTCAAGCCCAAAGCATTCTCTCTCTACTTGAGAGTAACATGTCCTCACATATAAGAGGTCACTGATTCTCCTGCCTTGTCCAATTCCATCTTCCCTTCAAACTTCTACTGCTCTTAGCCATTAGTCTTTAGTCCCTCCCTCTGAGACTTCAGGCTGCTTCTTGCAACTTTCTGTTAACAATGTGCCTTACACACAGTAGTCACACAATAATTTCTATGACACTAAGATCTCATGTCTACCTGGGCCAGATTTCTACTTTCCACCATGATGAAGGCTGTATGCATATTAGACAAAGAGCACTGGAATTGGAGTTACTTATAGAACTAGCCCTATTATTTGCATGAACTTCCACTTTCTTAGAACCTCTGTTTTTCCTTTCTTCTGAAATAATGCCTAATATTCTTTATATCTCAAAAACAGAGTGCTCCTACGAAGTCTACAGTAAATTCTTCAGCATGCAATGCAAAAGAGACAGCTCTCTGGAGTTTGGCACTGGGGATTGTTTTGCCTGCGTGGGTTAACACCTGCCAGGACTGATCCACTGAGACCTTCACAGCAGTGCCGCACCACCATGGAGGCACTTCCTGGACACCAGGCCTGAGATCAGATGCCCATCTGGTTCCTGCCTTCTTTATTAGCCAATCTCACGATCTGATTCTGCCTTCAGTTAGAAACAGATAACCACAGCAACTGGCTTCCAAGAGGCATCTGGCTGAGTCTCCCATATACCTGCTAGCACTGATTTACTCACCCCTCTAGTATGTTTGATGAGATTTGTAAAGTTCATCACCAGACACTCTACTAATGGGCCTAAATTCTTAGGAAGAGTTGAAATACTTTCAGAGAGAAGAAGCTTTGTTTGTAGATGAGAAAAACCAAAAGATTGGCTTTCCCTGCTGGCCCAAGGAGCCCTGGGTAATCTTAGCCTAAGTGGCTGCCAAAAAGAAATCCTGAGAAAAATCAGTTCCAAAAGGAGAAGGAGGGTATCTAGGGTGTTTGGGGAACAGTTCCAGGTAATTTCACACTAATATGAAGCCCCAAAATATCATTGTTAATCAAGCCAAACCTTTCCAGCTTGGAATTTGTTTTCATACACAGCGATAACTCAGGGGCTACTGTAGCAATATGAAACCTTGCATGTGAGTCACAGCTGTCATCTCAGCTCTGAGGATGGAAGACCATTAGCTCTAACAGACTTGCTTGTTCACCTCATCCTGGGTGGTGAAAATCATTGGTAATTGTGTCCAAAAGAGCTTTGAATACCAGAGCTTTATGAAAGATACTATAGTTCGTTTGCCACTGATCCCCTGATACCTTTTTTTTTTCCACACACAAAAAATACCTTAGTACATAAGTTACAAGGACCTCTGGCTGATAAGTGATTTATACTAAAAACACTGAACATAGTCAGGAGAAAGCAATTCCCGCTATTTCCCCAGCTTGGAATTTGGACCCATTCCAGGCATTTCTCTCTGAATCAGGCCCAAGCATCCCCATCTGGAGTACTAGCAAACTGATGAGATCTTCTGCCTCATAAAAATCTTATAATCTTACCAAAGCAGAAGGCTGGCTTTATCTTAAAGGTCTCTGAACAAATTACTTCTATTTTTCCTAATTTATTTGAAAATTTAAGGTTTCTTTTTCACTTCCACACCTTTCAAAAGTATTGGGGAATGTGTTTTCATATAACTTCCAGCATTAAACATCATACACCATATCTACCGCTGCCTGAATTTACCAGGTCCACCTTGGACTTAGGAAATAAGCCGGTGCCATCTGATTAGATTCATGACTCCGTTCGAGCAAGGCCGGCTGATGCAATCAGCGATCTACCCAGTAATGCTTGCACATAGAAGCTGTCTTGTTAAATAAATATTCTGCAGGAATCTGCCCATGAGGAGGAATCCATCCAGACCCAGATTCTCACACACCCCTGAATAATCAGGAGGCAGTACATTTAAGTTGAAACAAATGGAGAAAATTTACTTACGAAAGCTCACACTCCTGGTTTACTTTCACAAAATTTCAAGGTCGGAAGTTTCAATAGGTTATTTTGTCCATCCCTCTGCCTCTGGCGGGCCCTTCATCTAAACAGTACCAGGTGGATGGTGATCTAATCTAGATTTAAAAGGATAACAGAAAAGGCAAATTTTTACCCCTACTTCAGCAATGCTCTTGAACCTGCCCTTCCCTCCCCCACCAAATGTACCTTGCTATGACCCTCCTATCCTCATTAAAACCCATTTCTTCCTTTTCCATTTTCACAGAAGCTGAAGAACACTACCAACCAAAGAATATATTTCCTTTTCAATTTCTCCCTAGCGTGGGGTCTCATTCACTTCCATATATAGTTGCCAAATCAAAGAGGCAGTCCTTTCTGGTGAAATTAACTTGGGATTGTCTATTATATGTCTCAAGATAGGCTTTATCCCATTCTCAGTAACTAATAAAGTGCTAAAGGTAAAACCCAGAGGTATTAATCATGTAGAATTGTATATGTAATATTTTGGAACACATGACACAACTTAGCCTAAATTAAAAAAAAGAAAATAACACAAATGAGTAATATCTGTTGTTTAGAACAGGGGGTGGTCCTGGTTTAAAATGATATGTATTATTTTTTAAATGGGAAGATTCGAAAAGTACAAACATACCCAAAATAAAAGTGTACATGATCCCACTGCACAAACATAGCCACTAACATCTTATGTTTCTTTGTAGAGTGATATTTTTAATAACTTTATTCATTTCTGCAAACCCTAAGTGAAAAGTCATTAAATTATAAAAATATTTCCATTAATTTTAGTGGGAAAAATGACACGCTCCATCCCAGTGCAAGATACCAAAGGATTTTTGCAGATAGTAAAATATATCAAATTAATGATGAAACGTTTCTATAAATAACAATAATTTACAAGTAAATAAATACTGTTTGATCATAAATGTAATGTAATGAAGATTTATTGTACTTGCCAAAGGAAAAAGAGAAAGCTTGATTGTAGGTGGGAAGGCTGGAGGCTAAGTGCAAGACCATCATTTTCTGGAAGGCGGTGAGAGTCAGCTCTCGACTTTCAGATAGGTGATGTTTTTTGCACTCATTGGTATCTTACACATTTTAATGAAGACAAAAACGTTCCAAACTTCACTGGCGTAAAATAACACTTAGTGTTTCTCATGATTCTGTGGGTTAACTGGGCTGTGTTTTTGGTCCAGACTAGCTTGGCTGGCTGATCCCTGTTGTTAACTATTGACTTGGCTGGAACTTGTTGGTCTAGAACAGTGGTGGGCAAACTTTTTCTATATAGGGCCAGATGTGAATTCATAGGCTTTGCAAGCCATGTTTTCTCCGTCACAACTACTCAGTCCACTGCTGCAGTGTAAAAGCAGCCATGTACAACATGTGATCAAATGGGTGAGGCTGTGTTCCTTGCTTACCCCTGGTCTAGTATAGCCTCACTCATGTGTTTGGCAGTTGGCAGGCTTGTTGGTCTAGAGGATGGTTCTCAAACTTGAGTATGCATTTAGATAACCTAGACAGGACATTAAAGCACAGACTGCTGAGCCTCACATTCAGAGTTTCCAACTCAGTAGGACTGGGGTGAAGTTGCAGAATTTGCGTTTATAACAGGTTCTCAGGTGATGCTGTTGCTGTTAGTCTGGGGACCATATTTTGGGGATCACTGGTCTAGAACTTCTCAACTAGGATGGCTCATCTCGGCCTCATGGGTCTCTCATTCTCCAGGAAGCTAGCCTGAGTTTCTTTCTTTACATGATGGTCTCAGTGTTACAAAGAGCAGCCAAAAGGGCCCAATGCACAGATGATTTGCAAGTGAAGGAGACAACCTAAAGGTGTGGGCAAAAGGAAGTTGGAAGGAGTTGGATGCCATTATTGCAACAAACTACCACACCGCACTAAAAGAAGTTACAGAACAGAAACACATTTTAGAACAAAATAAATACTGAGCATAAGAAGGCTTTGAAAAACACGGAAATAGCTCACATGCACCATGGATGGGAGAATCATAGAAGATACTACCTTTTTGTCCCTCTCATTTGATGTATGTTCACAAAGAAAAATATTTTGGGTTCATCCACTCAGGGCACACAATTCAAATTTGTTCCATATGATATATCCTCTTATTAGAAACTGCTGTTGTCAAGCAAATCGGTGAATGAGTCTTTGCTGAAATCATAATGTCAATACATGACTTCTTCTAACAATGTTTATTTAGTGGGCTTTGGAGTGAAAGAGTTGTTACACTGAGAAAAAAAATTGACTGAAAAATAAAAAGTGGCATGACCTTTCAAAAATTGTTTTAGTAAAAGGTTAACTGGTAGTTGTTATGTGAGATGAGTCTGGTTACATTAAACATTTTCATCATTTCTAAGAAAAAATGGAAGAATTATTTTTTCAGTTAAACTCACAAAATGCATATTCTAAAGATGACAAATGAAATTAATGGGTCTCACCCAAGTCCTAAAGCACTTTTCAGGGAGCACCCAGGAGAGGAACATGGGCTGGAAGCCTGAGATACCCTTGTTATGTTATTAAAGTCAGCATATGGCTCAGCCTTCCCCATTGACCTCTTCTTGGATATCACAACTCCATAGTTTTGTGACTTCAGGGCTTTGATTTATAAAAGGTGTCTTGTCATGGTTCTATTTTTCAGGAATCTGCCTCTAAATGAAACACTAACACTAAAATGAATGATGCCAAAGCCAAATGGCTTACAATATGCCTAGTGTTGTTTCTTATGAGACGCAGAAGTATTTATATATTTCAGTGTAAGCTGAAGCACATTGAACTTTTTTGTGCTCGAGTTTACTTTATTGGGGATTAGAAAAATTGATTTTGTTTACATGACAGTGTGCTTCCAAAAGCTGATGAGAGACCAGATCACTCTATGGAGAGTATTCTCTCCTAAAACCAGGCACAGAATTAAAATACAAGTTGGAGAGTAAAATATGTTACCTAGAAGGAAACCATGAAAGAGCTGCAAGACAAACTGATAGTAAGCCCCCACTTATGGCTCTGAGTGCTTGGTTAAATCCAGACTAGAAAAGACATTAACCCTAACCTCAAGGGACTTACGTCATAGGTGAGGGTCAGACAGGCAAACATCACATGGGCCAATAAACAACATATTTATGAGACTGGAAAAGCAGTAGGGTTGAAAGCTTTGCTGCAGGTTGAAAAAGGAGAGGGATGAACAAGAAAGTTCCCCAGTTTTCCCTCCAGAGACAGAAATGGTGATGATCCCTTCCAGTGTATGTGGTCACCCTGGGGGGTCTCCTGGAAGCTACTACCTGGAGAAGCTGGTCAGTACAGCTGACCCTTGAACAGCATGGGTTTGAACCACGTGGCACCACACCCATGCAGATTTCACTTTATACGTACAGGACAGTACTGTAAATGAATTTTCTCTTATGATTTTATTAATGACTTCTCCTTTTCTGTAGCTTACTTTATTATAAGAACAGAGTCTATAGTACATGTAACATACAAAGTAAGTGTTAATCAACTGTTTACATTATTGTTAAGGCTTCTGGTCAATAGTAGGCTATTGGCAGTTAAGTTTTTGGGGGGTTAGAAGTTAGATGTGGATTTTTGACTGCATGGGGGTTAGCGCCCCTAACCTCTGCATTGTTCAAAGGTCAACTGTATGATGGAAAAGAAAGAAGCAAATCGGAACTTGGCCCTGGATAATAAGTCCTCTTCCCCCATAATTTCCACCTTCAATTTCTCTATCGGGTATGACTATCATTTTTATCCTTTCCTGTCCTAAAAAGAGCATCACCTCTAGAACCCTTGGAGGTTCCCAGAGAGACTGTTGAAAAGAGGGTCCCAGCCAAGGTGCTTTAGATTCAGCTTCTGAGTCAAGGGCCAGAGAACAGTATTGGTTTGCCCAGTTTTCCTCCCCTCCCCAAGTGGCATAAATGAGCTGCTGAAAGATAAACTGAGACATGTTACAACTTTGAGGAGTTTGAACAAACAATCCATTCAAATCAGGCAGCCGCTAAACCAGGAGTAGTGAGGAGTGCTCCTCCTACAGGAGCTTGGGGCAAGATTTTTATAGAGAAGATGCCAGAAGGAAAGCATAGACAGTTGAGTCTGCAGAGTTTGAGCACTTGCCCTATGTGGGAATGCCTAGTTGGTGCTTTGTGATTGGTTGTTTTTAAGTTTCATTTGCTCGGATTCTGTGCACTGACTTTGGCTTAGGTTTCAGTTTGCTTACGTAGGCTATCAAGTATTGGAGTCACTGTGGTCTAATGGCCTCCCTGTTTAATTACCCAGCATCTCTCTTAGCCTCTGGACAACTTCTCTCCACCTGAGGCTGTCATACAGAGCCATGGCTCCTTTTGGCACAACTTTCCAGCAAATCCCATTGGAGGACATAAACACTAACTTGCTGACACACTACAGTGCATGTAGGTGAGAAGGGTGTTACTTGAGGCAACTTCCCCAATAAGACAGGCTTTCTCTTAAAAATGAATTGTGTTATAGGATTTAAAACAAAATGTCATCTGCCGATGGTCATCGATGAAAAGTACTATGTCCTCCTGTTTCATTTTGACATGCTGTGACCTTTCAATATTTAGCTTCTATGTTATCTTCTTGCAAAGTATTTATTAACAGAGGGGTCTTTGGCATAGAAGGATGAATTAGGAGATGGAACCCCGCAATGAGAATTTATGGGAGATCAGATCTTGCAGCTTGTTTACTCATGACGTTCTAGAGACTTGTTAACGGCTTTGGGTGTCTCCAGGGTGTCATCAATTAATTGAACTCTGGCCTTACCAAAGTTGATTGATATGCAGGTGACTGAAGCAGTGGTTATGTCTCAATATTAATTACCCTTTCTGAAAACACCAAATTTTTCTCAACTCCTCCAGAGAAATGTAGTGGTGAGAGAAATGGAGAGTCTGCTCTTTCATAGATCATGTGTTACCTACTCATCACTTGGGAGGTGGCACTTGTCAAGGACAAAATGGAAAAAGATATAGGAAGAAAGAAATTTTAACGCTGCAGGACTGAAGACTTGTCATTAACCCATTTCCCCCAAGATTTCACTTTGTTTAGGAAAACAAGCCTTGTGGGGTTAGCTGGAGCC